GAAATTCTTCCAAAATTCAAAATTTTGACAAACATTTTTGCTATTTTTTTAACCATTTTCCCACCACTCTACTAAGCACTAAACTAACATTCAGTTTTGTAATAAACACTTTCTTTTATGAAATATATTAAAAGCTTGGATTTAACTTTTTTAAACAACCCCTCCTTGATGTTAATTTGAACCCACTCCAGAAACTATTGTAAATGCACAGTATTGTTACTGACTTGGATCAATCCCTCCCATGGAAAATGCTGCAGGAGGGACTTAGGGAGTAAATCTCTGCAAGGATCCCTCACAGATACACTCCTCCTAATGTCCAGTGAGAGAGGTGAAGTTTGACCCCACAAAGACTGGCCATACCACCTGCCACCCTCCAATCTTGGGAATCCACAGGAGGTCAGAGTTGTGGTAACGGAAATTCTCTGGTGTCTGCTACAAACCCCTGGGGGGAACTCAACAGAAAAGATAATATAGGTCTCCTCTGGACCCACTCAGTTTCTGCCATATATCTCTGACAGACAACAGACCCAAGGAAGTGCCCCCCACAGGATCTGGAGGAGGATGACGGGAACACTGCAAAAGATGCAGCTAACTCCCATTCCATGTGAAAGTGGGAGAGATCTGTTCTTGGCAGCCGGGGGGTTCCTCCATGCACTGATCAGTCAGCAATGACCTAGGCTACTATTATCATCTCAATTATAGGGTCAGTTTCATAATAGAAAGAAGGCTGTCAAGAGTAGGTAACAAAGAAAAAAAAATTATTAATGCCCCCAAACTGGAGTTTTGAGGTAACAATTCGCATTCGCTGAAATAGGATAAAAATATTTGGCAAATACTTGCTGAATTTTTTTTTTCCAGTATATGAACAGGTGCATCCAATGAGCTGCCGTTGTGTTGTTAATTTGGTCAAGCCTGAACTGCTCCTCTTTGCCTTTTGGTCACTTTGCATTGATTCTGAGATGCCACTTGACACTACAAGATATGATCCAGTGCAGTTATTAAGGGCCTGATCCTCCCCACCCAATGCAGTGAATAGGAACTGAGGACACTCGGTATCTTGCAAGGTAAACCCTTTAAAATGTAAAATTCCCCCTCCCCCAAGAAAATAGTGTAAGTTTCAAACACCAGCAGAAACACATTCCTGTAGAAAAAGTGGGGCAAGGACTCTTTTCAACTATATCCCTGCACCCTCACTCACTTCACTGGGGCTGCAGAGATAGCAGAATTCTGTCCATGCTGTTCGTGAACATCTTTCACAGAGACCTTTAAATCTAAGCCAACTGAAGTGTCCCTGCCTTTTACATAAGCTAATTCTTTGAGCTTTACTAATTAGGAACTAACAGTTCCTTCAGATGAGCTGCGATACCCAGGAAGAATACCAGCAGTATGTTTTAAATCAAAGTGTTTATAACAGGAATGATTCATTTTTTTCCATGAAGAATGACAGGCGGCCTTAGCAAAGCCATAAAATTGCATGGGAATTAAAACTGGGGAGAGAATAACAAAAGGAACTACCTACCCTAACCCCACCTCTACAGACAGCATTTACACTAACAAGACGCAAAATAACCAATGTTGTATGAAACTTCAGAAATGCAATGAGATCTGTAACCATGCCAAAAAAATATTTCCTTAGGGCAGGTTTACATTTGAAAGCTGCAGAGGTGAAGCTGCACCGCTGTAATGCTTTAGTGAACATGCCACCATGTCAACGGGAGAAGCTCTCCCAGTGACATAGCGCTGTCTACACCATGGGTTAGGTCAGTAGAACTGCATCGCTCTGGGGCATGGATTCTTCACCCGAGCGATGTAGTTATACCAATGTTAGTTGGTAGGGCAGACCTGGCCTTAGTAAGGACAGAAAAGGTGTAGCATGTGAAAGGAAACTATGGCAATTTTGTCATCTGCCCTAAAATCTATTTCAAAGAAAAAGCGGATTCATGCAATAGATTAAATGGATGTAAGAACCGTGGTTCCAATAACTCTTTCACTGTAAAGATAGAAATGAAAAACAAAAATTGCCGAGTGCTGCCTTGGATATCTTTTCCCACTCTTATCAAATCTAAGACAAATGGCACTGGCCCAAACAGGAGGCCACTCCCTCATTCTCAAATGTTAAATGGTTGAGGTTCTCTAGAGTGGTACATTAAAAGGACTGTCAGCCCCAGAATATGTTTGAGCACTGCTCTTTGAAAATCTAGTCCACTCAAAACATACCTTCATCTCCCCGCTACTCTCTGCAAGAGAGCAATCACCCCCTCAGTGATGGATTTATTCCACACATATGTTGTAAATATTGGAAGTAATAGTTACCATCACTCTTTTTAATTAAAAACAAAAAAACCCAAAAACAAAACACCCCCAAACCCACATATATAGAGACACGCACATTTACATGTAGAAATGTGAAGTATTTGAGCCTTTTCTAATAACTGCAGCTCCTGGAGCGGACATGCATTCCACACACAATTGACTTAAAAGCTCTTTTTTGCTGCAATAAAAATATACAGATGTCCTCTTTCAAAAAAAATTATTTTCCCTTTTCCTGTGTTACAGGAAACCTACCCACACTTTTAAATACAAAGTGGGTATATATAGAAGCATAAATTAGCCATCTTGAAAAGTCTGTATTTTCCAACCACAGGAAAACTAAGGAATTACTGTGAATGTTTACATACCCGGCTACATTGGATTAAAGCAGTATTTTCTCTCCATCTGCCCAGCAAAGCTGGCAAGAAACTGCGGAAGACAGTGGACGGCCTTTCTGGTTGTTTCTTCACCTGTTGCTACAGTGGGACTGGGATGTGATTACATTATTCAGTGTTCTTCATAAGGACTACTAAAAATGTCAAGCTGAATACAATCACTGATTTGATAAAAGCACATCTTTTATATATAAATGATGCAACTAATATGAAAAATTAAGTCTGTCTGTCTTCTTTGCTATAAATTTAGCCAGATGCTCATTCATTTAGTTGTCCTCCTGTATCAAATCTATTACAGGTAAGCAGAAATGTGATGGGGTTTTATATGGTATTAATTGCTTGAGGGATTTTACAAACCAAAAAGAAAAAAACTGTAAAGAAATTCCCTTTAGCAGCAGTGAAGTAGGTCTGCCCAGCTGATGTTTTTATACTTTGGGCACTTTTGCGGTTTTACAGGACTAACTATCCCCCAACCTCTCCTTTGTGCATGCTAGTTATATGCCATCTTTTGTTTTCTATTAACTGACTAAGAACCTTGCTCCCAAACCAATGCTTCTGTGCAGGCCATGTCACAACAATGGTAGCCAGGTGCTAATGGTCAAGGTGTGGGCATATTAGATACATTAAACAGTGGTGACTAGAAAGGTAATAAAAAAAAACAACAACAATTCAGTCGCAGGCTGAGAACCTATTGCCAGTTCTGCAGTAGATACCATGCAGTATCACTAGCACCTGTGACCTGTTTAGGAAGGGACACAGCAGCCAGTCAGGGATCAAAGTAGCATGTGTCATCACTGAAGTCATCTTAGAACTCTCTGCATCTCAGCTCTGCAGCAGTACAGTGCACTCACACAATTGCCATATGCTCCCAGAAGTCTCTTCATTCATATATTTTGTATTTACATGTGTTAGAAGCTATAACGTGTGAGTCAAATCACCAATGACATGCAAACTAATATTTCTATAGGCTACTGCTTGACAGTAGTAGTTCTTTCTGCATGTTCTGTGTTCTCCTGCAGGCAAGTCTGTCAGCAGCACGCTGTATACTCTGCACACTCAAAAGATGAGTGACTAACTTGCTTAAAGGATTTGAACAGGACTGGGGTTGGGGGGAGAATGTAGCAACTGAAATGTCATGTTAGAGGAGAGCTGAAAACCCCCACCATCAACTTTTCACTTAACAACTATAAAGACAAGCGTTCATTTTCTTATCTAGCCTCCATCTTTATTAACAATCAGACTCTGTTAAAATAAAGGCAGTTGGTGAGACTTAAGGTTGTGAGAGAGACACTTTGATCTGCACCCTGATGAGTGCACATTCCCCTTTGCTGCTAGCCCAACTAATGAAGGGATAGAATTAGCTTTTATCCCTGGCACTTTCTTTAGCAAGAAAACATGCGCTAATCAGCTGTCCTCACTAATCAGTGGTCTGGCTAATGACCTTTTGCCTTAAAACACTAAAATTTCTGAATTATGTGGAAAAAAAAAACACAGACTGGCCCCTCTTTGTGGGTCTTTAGCCTATCATCTGGAACTGGAGACTGGAAGGTTAAATGGCAAATCTGTATCCTGACAAGGTGATAAATCTATAATCAAAAGGCACTAGTCTTGACACCTCAAGATGTTCATTACTACAGAACTAAATGATTTTTTTTAAACTAGAAGCAGATGAAAAAAATTGCTTAACTCCCTCATATTTTGCCTGTGGAGAAATCCATTCCACATCTGTGTTCAAGTGTCAGTTACTTTCTTACTTTTTATTAATGCCTGAGCAGGACTTCAGAGGTTGAAACCATTCACTTTTTTCAGTAACTCAGGGGGACTGTAGCTGGGGAGAAAATGACAAAACAAAACAAAACAAAAAAATCTCTTTCCAAAAGATGTGTTCCCTCCTTTCTTTAAATTGTAGTTAAAATAGCTTTTAAAGAATTGTTTTAAAGCCTATTTGCTTTTCCTCTCTGCTCTTTTTAAATTAGTTTTGTTTTATGTATTGCTAAGAAGGTGGAGCAAATATAACATCTGATGGTTCATGAAGATTAGCAACAGATGATACATGCCCTACTGAAGTCTCTTTTGCAGAGGCCTATGCTAATTTAGGGATACAATGCAACTGTTTACAACTTTTTCCTACATAAACGAAAAGAATAAATATTCTTATATTATCTTAGACATATACAGGCAAAATGATTCATCCTGAGAGAGATGAAAAGTGCCAATACAAAATGCAATTAAATATGACAGCTTCAGTATCCTTCCAATCTTGCTTTCTGAAATGAACTTGCATTAAATACTCACGATAATGAGGATCCATGTAACCATTCCTGGGGTCCATTGCAAAAACCGTCCCACGATAAGGTACAGAAGGCTCAGAAAGGTGCGATATAGATCCATGGATCTCCTTCTTTATTAATGAGGCCCTTTCCTCACTAGATGTTGAAGGCTCTTCACTGATTTTACTGAGGCCTTGCCCACCTTGTGGCTGCATTGTGATTGCGTTTCTTCTCTCTCTGTGATAGGTCTGTCCAGGACTTTCATCCTCTGGGGAAAAAATGAGAACGAGAGAGAAAAAGAGAGAGAGAGAGAGAGACACACTTTTAGACCACTTATAGCAAATAAAATAAAAGTACTTTTCCCCCCTTTTCACCACTTTCAAAGCCGCAATGTAAGATTGTGACAGTAGGTGCATGTGTGGTTATGAAAGATGTTCTGGGATACAAGCTGAAAAAACTAGCCCACTCAGACCAAGTGGCAGTTCAGCAGTAGATCATCATCACCCATTCATTGATGCATTTACCAGCGGGGCTATTAATCCTACACGAACGGACACAGACTTGCTGTTTTCTTGCCTCTGGGACAAGTAGGCTGGAATTTTTGGCTGCTTGACTGGGAGGAAAAAAACAATTTGTCACAAACAGGAGAAGATGAACCCTGCTAGCTGAGACTAAATCAAGTCTAGCCACCCACTGCTGCTTTGTATTTGCCACTGTGCCGCTCCATCCCCAAAAGATGCACTGTTAAAAGACAAGAGCCTGGAGTAATAGAAAAGGCCCTACTCATTAAAATTAAGGTAGGCGACAGTATAATGCATTTACCCAGTTCCAGTTACTCAGCAAGCACAAGGTACGAGCAGTAAAGTCACCTGCTGTAATAGTGTCACCCACATATGTCGAGATGTACAGACTTGGAGGTTAACACTTTACAGCATTGAGTTAAACATCTTTTACACACAAATACATTAAAAATATAGTTTACTCTTATCTGTATGTAACCAGTATGGGTGAAATTCAGCTGCCCTGCATGGAACCCAAATGACTGGATTTTCTGTGGCTGATATGCAGAGGAACTAGGAAGGTGAATTCCAACCCCCAACCTGGGGCCAGTGCCTAGGCCTGAAATACAGGCCTTGTGCTCGCTTCTCCAGGGGATGGGCTGAAATGGCTGTTTCAGCCCACTCTGAATGTGTTGTTATGGCCATGGGATGCATGACATCACTCTTACTGTGGCCCTTTGCCCAGTCTCTCTCTAAGCCACCCTCTGACAGCCTTTAACTTGATGTAAAGGAGGTGCAAAGGACCCATCCGTGGCTACTCCACCGATGGCTCCCACACAAAGCCCCACCCTATATGTATTATATACACACACATTTAAAGAGATGCAAGCAGTGCAGGTGTTCAACCGTTAACCACACACTTTCAGGTACCTTTCACGTGAGACATATGACTTCAAAGGTCCATCATCTACACACACATCTACACCCTTCTGACAGTAAATCACTGCTTATATAAGGGCAGGAAGAGAGCTGGTTAACAATTCTGTAATCACTGGCTGGAGTCCTGACCTATATCTACAAAGTCAGAACATTTGGTCTCCAGATTCCTGTTTCCAGAAGGCCCACTTTATAACTATGCACTGATAAATATTGTCCTATATAAATATTAAGAGATATGTTCATAAACAACTGCGGAAAAGTGTTCGGGAGCTCATCAAAAATTCTGGTGCAAAAACAGATAACAACAAGAACACTAACCAAAAACACATTTAGAAAGAAAAAAAAATGTATCGCCACTATTTTATAATTGATGCACCAAAAAAAGAACAGTTCAGAATGATAAGAATCCAGCTTTAACTGTCAAAGGCCAGAACGTTCAAA